TTTAATTCAGGTTTAGACACATGAAACAGTGTGAGTTACTTAGTAGAAAGCCAGAAAAAAAATTTCTACAACCAGATAAAAATGTAAACCTGCAGATGAAAAGGGAAGACATAGTAAAAAAGACAAAGATTTGGAAATTATCAGCAAATAAGATACAGTTGAAGACATAAACCAAGGCTTAATATGTGCTGTAGGATCATCCATATTATGTTCAAATAACCCTACTGCTAAATCTGCAATAAATCAGAAACTGCTTGAGACAATTTTAATATTTGGTTACAGACAATATACCCAAATAAATGCACAAAAAAATATTAAAAATTAAAGCTGCTTCCAAAGCTATAGTTAAAAAGACAATGATGTATGGTCTGATGGTTTCTTTTATAATTTTAAAACCATACCTATGCTTATACTCAAATTCACTTTAATTTTGAATTGCTTTGATCATTATAATTTATCTTTAGATTACTTTGTTTCTATTACTTTGTACATCTTACAACAGCTTTTAACCAAAAGCAATATAATTCTGACCTGAAGTAATGATAATACTTTATAATCTGCCTCTTAAAAGCAGAGGTTAAAGAAAAATCTCTCTGAAGGCATCTGAAATTAAGGTACTTTGCTCTTGATCAGTCATGCACACCAAGAACCAATTTATCTCTGCAATTAGTTTTCTCAGTGCACATTCTATGAGATTGGACAGGCAGGCTGAATGCAAAGAGTCCACATGGATGTCTACTAGTGGAGAGACTGAAGACAGTCCCCAGATGGGAAGCAAACAGAAATGCTAATACTACCTAAGAGCTTCAGGAGCAAAGGGAGAGTGACTGTATATAGAAAAGAAAGGAAGTGAGGCCGGAAAGGGGATTGGCCACAGGGAAACTCCTTTCCATATCATCCTACAGAGTAGCCCTCAAGAGATAAGCATTATAAGCATGTCCATCTAGCTACAGTACAACATAATGGAAAGGCAAAGGCCTTGCTGAGTTCTAATTCTGAATCCAGACTTCAACACCACTTCCTCTATCTTCTTCAACTCCTGCTATGCCACTCAGAATATCAATTGAGTCTCTTTCCCTTTTGTCTCTTATGTATTTTGCTAAAGCATATAGTTTGGTCAATGAAATGTAATGTAAACCTGCTGTTAAAGAGCTAGTATTTTCCATGGTGCATAGATTCACAACATCCTACAGGCTTTAATTTCTGATCAACCAGAATGAATATGACCTCCCATGTATCATTTCTAAAATTCCCCTTGCTACTTATTAAAGGCTCCAGGCCCAAACTGCTTTCTTGGGGGCACCACTGGGAAGGCCCAAATTTTAAAATTAGGATAATACCTGAGATTTTTACTGCCCTTCTTGCACTCACGTGCCCCCAGCAATAGATTTAAACTCCAATGTACATCATTAGAATTGTTACTGCTGAGTATTATATTGAGAGGGATTTTGAAGCAAAGGTCCACAACCATAGGGAATAGACAATTCATATTTTGCTATTTTGAGTAGGCGTTAAATACAAATTTTAGTTATCTTAATGGTGTATTTAATTATGGTAGTTCTGATTAGTAATTGCTGCTTACTTTCTCATACAAGGGATGGACTCCCTACTCCAGTAACAATCACTTCTGTTATGCTTATTATGTGTTAGGCACTCTTCTAAGCACTTTAAAAATATAAACCCATTTAATCTTAATAACAAATAAGAAGTAATAGAGGGCCTCCCCGGTGGCGCAGCGGTTGAGCGCTGGGTTGCGAAGCTGCCCGCAGCCTCTACAGCGCCGGTTCGATCCCCGGCTGCATCCCGGCCACCGGAGGAGGGTCCCACATGGCGCGCAGACCTCTCCTGCCACCCGCTGCTCCCCTCAGCAGTATACTTCGGTCCTTCTGCCTGCTCTGCTCCCCGCTCTGGCTCTGGTGAATTCTCTCACCCTCCCGCGCTTCTGACTGTACCCAGTGCTTGTATGTATGTATGTATCAATCAATCAATAAATAAATCTTTAAAAAAAAAAAAAAGTAATAGAACCAGAATTCAAATCAGGCAGTTTAGTTGTGGAATTCATTCTGTTAACCAGTCTGCAGGACAGAGCACAGAATTTCATTTAAAAGTATTTTCTACAGTTTTTTAAATTAAATATGTGGCACACAAAGAAAATCAGTCATGAGAGATAACCAAGACAACAAGATCATGATGCAGCAGAAAAAACAGATAACAGAGATAGACAAAAGTTCCAGATATTGGCATTATCAGAGAGAGACTTTAATAAGATAACTACTTTAAACTGTTTCAAAGAGTAAAAGACTACATTTAAAATTTTGGTAGAGAATTAGAAATTATATGTGACACAACATGCAAAAAATAAGAGAAATTGGGTCTCCCTGATGGCACAGGGGTTAAATAAGGTCTTAGTCCTATCAAGCTATCACCGGCCAATGAGGCAAGAGTTCAATCACCAGCCAGGAACCTAATCCACATGGCAAAGCAGACCTCTACTGTCTCACCTGCTGTTCCCCTCAGCAGTGTATTTCAGTAGATCTACCTGTTCTGCTCCCCACTCTCTCTCTGGTGAATCCTCTCATCCCCAACACTTCTGGCCTACACCCCAGTTCTTGTATGTATAAATAAATAAGAATAATTTTTTTTTTTTATAATTTTTTTTTTTTTTTAGATTTATTTATTTATTTATTTATTTATACAAGCACTGGGTACAGTCAGAAGCGCGGGAGGGTGAGAGAATTCGCCAGAGCCAGAGCGGGGAGCAGAGCAGGCAGAAGGACCGAAGTACACTGCTGAGGGGAGCAGCGGGCGGCAGGAGAGGTCTGCGCGCCATGTGGGACCCTCCTCCTGTGGCCGGGGAGCAGCCGGGGATCGAACCGGCGCTGCAGAGGCTGCGGGCAGCATCGCAACCCAGTGCCCAACCGCTGCGGCACCGGCACGGGGGAGGCCCAAGAATAAATTTTTTTTAAAAAAAGAAAAATAAACAGAAATCAAGAATTGAAAATGTTTCAGAGGAGTGAGATCAGAGTATGTTCTCTTATCACCATGTAGTTATGCAAAAATCACTGATAAAGAGATAATCTTCATATTTTTAGAAATTAAGAAATATACTTCTAAGTAAATTATCTCTAAATCAAAGTGGAAATAATTATGGAAATTAGAAAATATTTTGACAAAATTATATAAATATATTGCCATGATGTATAGTTAAAATTATACTTAGAAAGAGGTTAACAGACTTTAATGAATGTTAGAAAGAAGAAAGGCTGAAAGGTAATGAGTTCAGTACCTATGTATAAAGATAAAGGAAATAAAAAATAAAAAACAGAGTAAAAGGAAGGCCATAATGGGTAGAAATGAATAAAACAGAAAACAAATATTAGAGAGAATCAAGAAAGCCAGAGTTTGGTTCTTTGCAAAGACTAATAAAATCAATAGATCTCTGGGGAATCCAGTCACAGGGAAGAAATGGTGGCCAGTATTAGGAATTAAAAAGTGGATATTACAATGGATCCTGTAACTATTAACAAGGTAACAAAAGGTTTTAGTGATTATGCCAATAAATTTGAAAACTGGATGAAATTTATTTCTAGAAAGGCACAACTTACCAAAACAAACACAAGAAAGAAGAAGAAATTTGAAAAGCTCTGGAATAGGTAAAATATTGAATTTGTAATTAAAATATTAAACAAAAGAAATAAAATTAGTAATTAAAATCATTCTCACAAGGAAAATTCTATAATCAGATGCCTTTATCAACAATTTCTATTAACTGTTTAAGGCAAAAGTAATTTTAATTTTATACAAATTACTCTAGAGAATTAAAAATAAAGAGGGATAACACCTTAATCTATTTTATAAAGGCAACAATAAAGGAAAAGTACACATCACAAATATAAGAAAAAAGCAAGTGAATATAATTAATGTCAAACTAGCGATTACCTTTAAGCAGGAGGGAAGAAGCTGTAATTAGGAAAGAACAGTCATGGGGACTTCTGAGGGCTTCTTAAGGCTAGTAATGTTCTTTCTTGACTTCATTTGTTTTATAATAAATTATTAAAATAAATGTTTTGTGCGTGTATACTTTGTTGTATATTATAATGCACAATAAATGTTTTATTTATATTTTAGAACTAGTGTCACTCAATGAGAAAATGTTTGTTATATTTGTATTGTTAACACATTCTTAGATTTCAGTAATCTTCTTGAATATCTTTACTTATTCTAATGGACTGACAATTTCTACTTCTTAGAATTTATCTTTTAAAGATTCATTTCCTAATGTTTACTAGCTTCCCAATTTCATTAACACACACTTAACTGGAATTAATAGTTATAATTTCATTTTGAAGCAAAGGCATCTATTCTTAAGTATTCTATAATTCCATATGTGGGTTTTTGTTTCTAAAACCTAAAATTTAATCTTAGGTGAAAACACACAAATATTAACCAATAAGTCACATGTCTGCAAGGTGTAGAATAAAAAGACAAATGGGTAAGGTATAGTTTCATTTGGGACTAAATAAACATCAACTCGTAAGTTTTTCTGGGAATTGCCACATTTATTTCCCATCATTAATTATTTAAATCTATCTGTCTTCAGTCTTTGTACACCCAGTCCTAGCTCAAAGTTTTGGCATCTGTCTATATGTAAAAAATATTTACAGTAATAGGAAATTTGATTTAATGAATGTGAATAATGAAATACAAATAACTTATAAGATATTTTATTTTTATTGTAACTATAGTAAAAAGAATAGCTAAATGAACAACTTCTAATTTTATTCTGAGAGCTATTATAAAGCTTATAGTGAAGCACTGCTCCTATAACCCTTTCTATATGCCTGTTAACACCCACTTTAAGGCAAGTAGTAAGCATCAAAATACAGAAAACTAAAACAATTCTGACCCAAATTATGGAGACCTAAGCTTTGGTCTATACACTGTATGTCATCAATTTAATAAACTTATATAAAAGTATATTTTCATCAAAAAGTGCTCACTTTTGGGACATGAGGATTAAATTCCACGGCTCTATGAATTGCTTCCACAGCATTAATTTCTGCTGTGCTTAACCCTCTTCTGGAGGCTGTTTCTGGTGAAAATCTGTAAGAAAATAAGAGAAGAAGCAATGAATATAAAAAATATATGTGTATTATATTTCATAAAGTATATATAGATACTTTTAGATAAAATCTATTCCCTTGAATCAGAGGCTTTTGGTAATGGCCAAAGACAAAGACAAATAACCACTAAATATGAAATAAAAGCTAATATAATAAAGCATATAAACTAAAAGGCAGCATAAAAAATAGAAATCTTCAAATTTATGTGAAGAAAGTGTTTAGGAAAAGTCCATTGGAGGCATACTCTGGGAAAGGTAATAAGAAATGTCACACAAGGACGTTCAGAGAATCTTCTGTAATGAAAGTATATTTTTATCAAGTTCTCATTAAAAGGAAACAGATTGAATACTCAATTCTAATTATATCAAGGCACAGTAACCTAAAGTGAAAAAAGTCACTTATTGATTGGTTTCTGAGTATCATCTGTGAAATAAAGAGAAATTCATTAAAGGCAGTCAAAAATACATGAAAAACAGTAACACAGAATTATAATCTCAGAACAGATAATATGAAACCTATTTGTTGACCACATACCTTATCATTACGATACAGCTACAGTCTATGAACTTTCTTTAGTCATCTAATATACTTAATCCACACACAAAAACCCTACAATATTATTATTCTCACTTTACAAAGGAGTCTCATTTTATAGAATCAAACTGATTTACTTGCCCAAAGTCCCATAAAAGATATATGGTAGACTGAATTTGAAGACAAGCCTGCTTAGTTCTAAGAACCTTGCTCTTTCTACTACATATAATAAAATGGCTCAAAACCCCATAAGATCAAGGTTATTCAAAAGGAAGTAAGTAGGGAGAAAAAGAATACTATTTAAAGTTAATGAAGGAAAAACATAATATTGAATTTAGCAGTCTAAATTATTGTAGTTTACATAATAACTTACTTATCTGAAACAGTCCTTGTCTTCAGTAGTGCTGCTGTGTAACAGATTGCTGCTGACTTTGGAAGGCTTATATCTGTAATAATAATTTCCAACTTAGGTAGGAATCACAAAAAATATTTTATTTTATTTTTTTAAAGATTTATTTATTTAGGGGCCTCCCCGGTGGCGCAGCGGTTGAGTGCTGGGTTGCGAAGCTGCCCACAGCCCCTGCAGCACCAGTTCAATTCCTGGCTGCCGGGCGAGGGTCCCACGTGGTGCGCAGACCTCTCCTGCCGCCCGCTGCTCCCCTCAGCAGTGTACTTCGTCAGTCAGCCTGTTCTGTTCCCCGCTCTGGCTCTGGTGAATTCTCTCACCCTCCCGCGAATCTGGCCTGTACCCCTGTTCTTGTATACATAAATAAATCTTTATTTATGTATTAAAAAAAATTTATTTTATTTATACAAGCACTGGATACAGTCAGAAGGGCGGGAGGGTGAGAGAATTCACCAGAGCCAGAACGGGGAACAGAACAGGCAGAATGATGAAATACACTGCTGAGGGGAGCAGTGGGCATGGCAGGAGAGGTCTGTGCACCATGTGGAACCCTTGCCGGCAGCCGGGGATTGAACCGGCGCTGCAGAGGCTGAGGGCAGCTTCGTAGTCCAGCACTCAACTGTTGTGCTACCAGGGGAGGCCCCACAAAAAATATTTTAAAACAATTTCTAATAAGAATAATTTATAGTACAAATCCAACAGATATAAGATAGTAGCAGAAGAATGTGAACATACAGTTGGAAGATGTAAGATTAAATCTTGACTTTACTCTTTACTAATTATGCATCTTTGAACAAGTTTAACCTGTTTTCTCCTCCCAAAATAGGGAAATGGTACTTTTCTGGCAAAGATTAAAGTATATGTGTGAAAGTCCTTAGCACAATGGTGAAACCTACTCAACAAATGTTGCTAACAAACGATAGCACAAAGCTAGAGTAATCAAAACAGTAAAGTATTGGAATAAAAATAGAAACATACCAATGGAATAGAATTGAGAGTCCAGAAATAAACCCACACTTATATGAAGAGTTAGCCCATGACAAAGGAACCAAAAGTGTGTGCGTATGTGTGTGTGTATGTGTGTGTGTACACACACATACATAAAACAAAATAAGGTAAATCTCTTTAACAAATGGTTCTGGAAAGCTGTTGTGAAAAAGCCACATGCAACTAGACCACTATCTCATACCATTCACAAAAATTAACTCAAAATGGATTAGATATTTGAATATAAAACCTGAAACCATAAACTACATAGAAGAAAACACAGGTGCAACACTAAACAACACTGGCTTCAGTTATTTGGGGATGACTCTAAGGGGAAGGGAAACAAAAGTAAAAATAAACAAATAGGGCTTTATGAAACTAAAAAACTTCTGCACAGCAAAAAAAGTTATCATTAAAGGGGTCTGCCCCGGTGGCGCAGCGGTTGAGCGCTGGGCTGCGAAGCTGCCCGCAGCCTCTGCAGCACCGGTTCGATCCCTGGCCACTGGCGAGGGTCCCACATGGCACAACAGACCCCTCCTGCTGTGCCCGCTGCTCCCCTCGGCAGTGTATTTTGTCAGTCTGCCTGTTCTGTTCCTTGCTCTGGCTCTGGTGAATTCTCTCACCCTCCCGTGCTTCTGACTGTACCCAGTGCTTGTATAAATAAATAAATAAATCTTAAAAAAAAATCATTAAAGTGAATTGACACTCTACAGAATGGGACAAAATATTCACACATCGTATATCCAACAAGAGGCTAATATCCAAGATCCACTAAGAACTCACACAGCTCAACAATAAGAAAATAAACCACCCAACCAAAAATTGGACAAAAGATCTTAATAGATACTTCTCCAAAGAAGAAATACAGACAGCCAACAGACACATAAAAAAATTATCATCATCACTTATTATCAGGGAAATACAAACCAAAACCACAATGAGATACCATCTCACATCCATGAGAATGGCTCATATCAAAAAGACCTAAAACAGGGGCCTCCCCAGTGGCTCAAGGGGTTAAGCATGGCACAAGAGGTTAAGCACCGCAATATGAAGCAATCTGCAGCCTCTGCAGCACAAGTTTGATCCCTGGCCAGCCAGAGAGCAACCCACATAGCAGAGGAGACCTCTCCTGATTCTCCCGCTGCTCCCCTCAGCAGTGTATTTCAGTCAGTCTGCCTGTTCTGTTCCCCACTCTGTCTCTAGTGAATCCTCTCACCCCCCCCCACATCTCTGGCCTGTACCCCAGCTCTTGTATGCATGAAATAAATCTTTTTTTTTTTAAAGATTTATTTATTTATTTATACAAGCACTGGGTACAGTCAGAAGCGCGGGAGGGTGAGAAAATTCACCAGAGCCAGAGCGGGGAGCAGAGCAGGCAGAAGGACCGAAGTACACTGCTGAGGGGAGCAGCGGGAGGCAGGAGAGGTCTGCGCACCATGTGGGACCCTCCTCCTGTGGCCGGGAAGCAGCCGGGGATCGAACCGGCGCTGCAGAGGCTGCGGGCAGCTTTGCAACCCAGAGCTCAACCGCTGCACCACCGGGGAGGCCCTAAAATAAATCTTTGAAAAAAAAAAAAAAAAAAGACCTGAAACAAAAAGTGTTGAATGAAATAACTGCAGAATTGAAGCTACTAGAAGGGGAAGGTATGAGGTGGAGAACAAAGCAGGGAGGAAGTCCAATGGTCTATGGTAGAGGATTATGAATATAGGTGGATGTGATGTACTAACATACATCTTAACAGGTGTGAATCTATACACCTCAATTATACACAGTGTTGCAAACCAAGGATACCACAATTTAAAAAGATAAAGATCCTTAATACCAACTTGTACCAGCAGATTCCAAATAACAACTGGTAATAATAGAAAGCAAAAATAACAAATAAAAGAATAGGGTTATATTTGTAATTGTGAAATTTAAAAAAATATTGTAATCATGCTACCCACTAATACAGATATTACTCACCGTCATATTTTGCTAGGACTGCCTGTACATCTGCATAGGCCTGTAATTCTAAAAGTGATTCTAGGAGATTTTCATGGATGTTCAACATGCTAAGAGGAGGAAATTCTTTCATCAACTGTATATTAAAAGGAAAAGCAGAGTAAAATTTTAACAAAGGAACTCAACAGAGCTGAATCAGAATCATTAAAGTAGACATCATTTTGTTTCCTAAAAAAGCACAGAGATTTAACCCTTAAGAATGAATGCATATTAAAAAGTTATCTTGTTATAAAAACTACAAAGTAAAAATCCAATGATTTGACATTAAAATATTGGAAATTTAAGCCACATTTTCAGTATTTTGGAGGAACAAATATAAAGGTCCAGTCATCAAAAACCTTACATCTCTCATTATTTTTACTGCTTCTCGTATTCTTCCTAATTTCCTTGCACACATTGCCAATCTTCTTTTAACATATACCAGTACGTTGGTATCTCTCCCTATTTAAAAAAACAAACAAAAGACACAACTATTACACTTGTATTATGACTTGTCATTTTATTACCATTATCCATTAATTTTATTTCCTTGCCCTAGAAGATTTAATTAAAACTAAATTGTGGGGCCTCCCGGTGGCACAGCAGTTGAGCACTGGGCTGCAAAGCTGCCCGCAGCCTCTACAGCGCCGGTTCGATCCCCAGCTGCAGGCAAGGGTCCCACATGGCGCACAGACCTCTCCTGCCACGCCCGCTGCTCCCCTCAGCAGTGTATTTCATCAGTCTGCCTCTGTTCTTTTTTTTTTTTTTTTTTTTTTTAAAGATTTATTTATTGATTGATTGATTGATACATACAAGCACTGGGTACAGTTAGAAGCGCGGGAGGGAGAGAGAATTCACCAGAGCCAGAGCGGGGAGCAGAGCAGGCAGAAGGACTGAAGTACACTGCTGAGGGGAGCAGCGGGCGGCAGGAGAGGTCTGCGCGCCATGTGGGACCCTCCTCCCGAGGCCGGGGAGCAGCCGGGGATTGAACCGGCGCTGCAGAGACTGCCGGCAGCTTCCCAACCCAGCGCTCAACCGCTGCGCCACCGGGGAGGCCCAGTCTGCCTCTGTTCTGCTCCCCACTCTGGCTAGGGTGAATTCTCTTACCCTCCCGCACTTCCGACTGTACCCAGTGCTTGTATAAATAAATCTTTAAAAAAAAAAAAATAAATTGTGTCAGAATGGAGGAATTATAAAGGTTGTTGAATTTGGGTGATGAACATTAAATTGGAGCTCATATTGTATTTTGTCTGTGTTTGACATTTTTAGTATGAAAGCTTAAAAATATATATGTATATACAGTTACTTTTGCCCTTAAGAGCGGGTAATCTTTATAGTATATGTAAAGTATTTTGCTTATACTTGACAATTTCATTTTAATATTAACATAAAAGAAACACATTAACCTATTAAGTTTCTACATAAACAATCTACAATTTTAATATTCTCTATTACAAACAAAAATGTTCAAAACAGAATTTCCATGGCTAGTATAAACTACTTCCAGAAAGAGCTAACAAATATTTCTTTAACCATCTAATAGCAGTAGTTGAGATGATACAAAGAGAAATGGCATGACTTTTCTACAGAAGTAGTTTCATTAGTTCCAGGCTGCATAATTATATATTCCCATAGTTGTGTGTTATAACAAGATGCACTAATGAGACATGCTGTACACATCAATATTTAGTTTAGAGGGAAAACATTATCCAAATTTTAATTTCCACTAACAAAGGATTTAGAACTTAACTGCTAGCAGATAATGCATTATGTAAACATATTTCAATTTATTGTCCACTATCTGCCAAAATCATGAAACTAAAACTCTGGGCCACAAAAAACAGCAGGGGGCCTCCCCGGTGGCGCAGCGGTTGAGTGCTGGGTTGCGAAGCTGCCCGCAGCCTCTGCAGCGCCGGTTCGATCCCCGGCTGCTCCCCGACCACCGGAGGAGGGTCCCACATGGCGCGCAGACCTCTCCTGCCGTCCGCTGCTCCCCTCAGCAGTGTACTTCGGTCCTTCTGCCTGCTCTGCTCCCCGCTCTGGCTCTGGTGAATTCTCTCACCCTCCCATGCTTCTGACTGTACCCAGTGCTTGTACAAATAAATAAATAAATAAATAAATCTAAAAAAAAAAAATGGGTTAAAGAAAAAGAAATTATTTAAAAAAATAAATAAAAAAAATAAAATAAAATAAATAAAAAAATAAAAACAAAAAACAGCAGGAAGCAACAGCATTATACATTGAAATATCTTTGGTAACAGTATCTCAATCATAACTGGGAGAGTATTCCTGAGACTGGAAAGAGAGGACCTCAGAGACTATGTTCCATATGATCTCAAACATATCACATGGAAAAACCAAGCAAAGAAAGAATCAATGCTGAGTATAAGGCTGGTTTCTGTAAGTCAGGCTACTTCCTGACATTATATGGAGATACATACAATCTGCAGAGCAAACCAAATGATGCACCTCTACTATTGCTAGGGGTAAGGATGGGGGAAAAAAGGTTCTTATTATCACTAGCAGGCTCTCTTGAATTTGAATATTTTGGGGTTGTGTTTCACCAATGACCAATCCAATTCTGATATGAAATAAATTACTGTTAAGTCTCAGAGCAGCACAATTCTCATAAGCCAGAGCAGATCTGTTCCATTCCACAAGCTAGTACACATTTCTGTCTTGCAGGCTAATAGATTTTGTGAATAGATGTGTTATCTCTTATGAAAAGTAGCTAACTTATAGTATTAATTTTTTTTAATAATTGTTTTGTGTTTTAAACAAGAACCAATTACAGGAGTGAAAAGACAGGTAAAAGTCAGTTCAAATTTGCTTACTTAGTTGAGCTTCATGCTGAGGACTTTGGTGCTGGCACTGCTGTGACCTTCTATAAATTGTTTCTCCAGCCTTGAGTGCCTGTTTAAATAACCTTTCAGCATCTACAATAGTTGTTGCTTCTTCCTCAGCCAGTAGAACATAGGCAGTGGCACAGCTATAAAGCAAGCAAGCAAGGCAATTTTAAGAAAAACAGCAAACATACTCGAGTATGTCCCTTTGCTCTATGTCACATTTCCCTAACTTTATCTATATTTTCATCTTCTAAAGAAAAAAAGACTTTGGCCTCCCTGGTGGCACATAGTGCCAATAGCTTCATAGTGTTACTGGCAGCCACTGCAGCACCAATCCCCAGCCAGGGAGCTGACCCACGTGTTACAGCAGACCTCTCCTGTCTCACCCGGTGCTCCCCTCAGCAGTGTATTTCAGGCGATCCACCTGTTCTGCTCCCCACTCACCCCCATACCTCTGGCCTGTACCCCAGTTCTTGTATGCATAAATAATCTTTAAAACAATAAAAACAAGTGATCTGACAGAAATTTCCTTAAATACTTTGGAACCAAAAACAAAACTAGAAAAAAATCTTTGCAGATGACTTCTGTATTTGTGATGGGTATACTCTCAACATTTAGTGAGGTAGTTAACAAGTTTGTCTCGGCCTCCACTTTCTGCATATGTAGAACCTAAAAGGTAGGTAGACATAAGAGCCTAGGGCCTTCTCAAGTCTTTTCTGGGCATGTGCCCAACCTTAAGCATATGCAGGACCTTAGAGATTCCCAGGAATATGTGAGAACTTTTCAAAGCCTTTACTTCTTAAAGTATCTCATTCCCCATTCTTGCCTTCCAAGCTTTCTGGTTTGTCTAATATTTGCCCCTGCAGCATCAGGGATTAATTCACTTGCCTTTAAATATTTTCAAAAAATGCTCCTGCCCCACCCTCACAGTACAGCTGTGTCAGTGCTGGGAGAGTTCCAAATTAACTGAAATAAAGGCATGTCTCTTAGGTTGGTCCATTAGTGAGTCACCAGACAGGTCAAAATAAACAACCACAATTCTTCCATTCTGCTTCTTCTGGTAGCGGGAACCTATACCCAAAATGCAAACTGTTGTCTGAAGGCTGCCACTGACTCACAAAGTAGGAGATAGGGCCAATGTAAGATAAAACACCACAAAGCTGTTACATAAACTCAACTGTTTTTAAAATTGGTTCAACAGGGCCTCCCCGGTGGCGCAGCGGTTGAGCGCTGGGTTGCGAAGCTGCCCGCAGCCTCTGCAGCACCTGTTCGATCCCCGGCTGCTCCCCGGCCACCGGAGGAGGGTCCCACATGGTGCGCAGGCCTCTCCTGCAGCCCTCTGCTCCCCTCAGCAGTGTGCTTCTGTCCTTCTGCCTGCTCTGCTCCCCGCTCTGGCTCTGGTGAATTCTCTCACCCTCCCGCGCTTCTGACTGTATCCAGTGCTTGTATAAATAAATAAATATAAATCTTTAAAAAAAAAAATTGGCTCAACATTCTTCAGGTTGTTGTAAACTTCATTTATTCCTAGAGTTTTAATACAGTTGATTCTGAGTTTTTGCCAGTTTATTCATTCCTTTTTGGAGTTCCCTACGTTACTATTTTTGTCCTATGTTGGGAAGGTCGGGGATGAGGGACATGGAGGATGATGCTAAGTTCACATCATTTAGGAAGTATTCTTTGACCCCAACTGGGGCCATATTTTCACTTCTGACCTTTATTTAGTATTAGATTAATACTGATCTGTCTCATTTAAATATTAAGTTAACTTATGATTTTATATTTTTTCTTCTTAGGTGATAGAGGTGACAGAACTATAAAAAATTAATGCTGTTGGGGTCCCCCTGGTGGCACAGGGGTTAAAGAAAACACTATCAAGCTATTGCCAGCCACTGTGGCATAAGTTCAATCCCCTGCCCACCAGGGAAGTGACCCACATGGCAAGGCAGACCTCTCCTGTCTCGCCTGCTGCTCTTCTCAGCAGTGTATTTCAGTCAGTCTGCCTGTTCTGTTCTCCACTCTGTCTCTGATGGATCTTCTCATCTCCCCCATCTCTGGCCTGTACCCCAGCTCTTGTATACATAAATAAATGAATCTTTAAAAAAAAAAATTAAATGCAGGGGCCTGCCTGATGGTGCAGGGGTTAAGACACAACCTATGGAGCTAGCTGCAGCCACTGCAGCACGAGTTCAATTCCCCCTGCCAGCCAGGGAGCAACCCACATGGCGCAGCAGACCTCTCCTGACTCGCCCGCTGCTCCCCTCAGCAGTATATTTCAGTCAGTCTGCCTGTTGTTCCCCATTCTGTCTCTGGTGAATTCTCTCACCCCCCCCACACATCTGGACTGTACCCCAGTTCTTCTATGCATAAATAATCTTTTTTTAAATAAATTAATGCTGTTGGGGCCCCTCTGGTGGCACAGGGGGTTAAGAAAGCACTATCAAGCTATTGCCAGCCACTGCGGTATGAGTTCGATCCCTTGCCCGCCCGGGAGGTGACCCACATGGCGCAGCAGACCTGTCTTGTAGCTGCTACCCTCAGCAGTATATTTCGAGAGATCTGCCTGTTCTGCTCCCCAACTCTGTCCCTGATGAATCCTCTCATCTTCCCCACACCTCTGGCCTATATCCCAGTTCTTGTATGCATAAATAAATATTTTAAACAATGAAAAAATGAATGCTGTTAATAAGAAAAAATAAAATGAGAGATATGATTTACTTATTTTGAATCCTTTTCTCATGCCTCCAATCCTATTAGCAACTAAAGTTCTCAAGACTGAATGAATGCTTTCAATGAATGACTAACTGAAAAACAAAATTAAAACAGGTGGAATAAGAACTTTAGAACCCTTCAACTATCAAATATTATCACCCATTAGGTCTCTATCCATTTAAAAAAGTATTTCTATTCAAAAACATAGATAAATATTTATAATTTCAGAAGCAAAATACAGATGTTAGTGAATGCTGTAAATTTTGTGTCTAAATATGCAAAAAGAGAAAGAAGAGTGTTAATGACTCCACGTGTCTTAGGAGCAGACAAAATGAAACAATCATTTCATGGATTTTCTTCAAACCAAACTTATTTTCCATATACTTCAAACTCACTCATTGTTTAATTCTAAAGCTTGATAGGCTGCTTTGATTCGAGCTGGAGGATTTCTTTCCTTCCATGCCTTCTGCATAACTGTAGGAAAAATATTACAAAAAATAATTATGATGGCAAATATAAATCTTTTTCAAAACATATGAAGAATGAGCTTGGAGAGTAAATAAGGATTTAAATAACATGCTCTTAAACATAAAAAAACAAGAAATTGGGTTCTAGTTCACATTAACCTTGTGAGTTTACATTAAATTTGGAAGTTTCTCATAGAATAAAAATATATTCTTTTTCTGATTTATTTGAATAACGACATGTAAGGAACTTAACTACATCATTATTATACATGAACATTTATATACTAAATGCATATTAAAATCAAGCTTGACCAACAACAGATTATAATCAATGTGAAATATTCTAGTTCTTTTATCATTTAAAAAAAAGTTCTACAAAACTGCTAGAAATATACAAAACACTTAAAAACAAAGTCTTTGTCTAATCAAAGATTTGATGGGAAGAATCAAATTTGCATTTTCCATAAAAAATGGGGGAAAGGAATTAATTTAGGATATAGTATATTTATGCAAAATGTCAGTCTCTACCCAACATCAACAAAAGCCTGAATTAGGATCTCTCTGGAATAATAATGTTAGTTTGTTAGTTTTGCTACCATTTACTGTGCCAAAATAAAAATGTCACACTAAGTAAAGTTTCTTAAAAATTAAACAAACAAATAGATTCATGATATTATCTGGCTTATTTTAAGTTTGATAAGAAAAATAAAAGAATATATGAATGTTGCTTTTGGAACAAAACCTTCAACTGTCCAGAAGGAATACTATGAAAAATGTTTGCATTTTCCTTTGGAAACAAAATATTAGTCTTGGCTTAGAAAAGGAGACAACATATTCCACTTGTGTAACAAAAATACACTTGTGTAACAAAAATACATTTCTCATATCACACATGTCACCAGCTAGAGGACAGCTAATGTTTCCTGAACATGGCAAATGAATGCAAGTCAGCACCCATCTGATAATAACCAGGTAAAGAATAGCACTTTCCGGGCCTCCCTGGTGGCGCAAGGGGTTAAGCATAGCACTGTGAAGCTATGCTGTGAAGCTACAACCTCTGCAGCATCTCTATCCCCAGCAGGCCAGGATGCTACCCACATGGTGCAGCAGACCTCTCCTGACTTGCCCACTGCTCCCCTCAGCAATATATTTCAGTCAGTCTGCCTGTTCTGTTCCCACTCTGTTCTGTTCCCCACTCTGTCTCTGGTGAATCCTCTCATTCCCTGCACCTCTGGCCTGTACCCCAGTTCTTATATGCATAAATAAATAAATCTTTAAAAATAAAGAATAGTACTTTCCTAAAATATTAAAATATATTATATAAAAATAAAGTATAATATTAGGCTTGCGATTTTTTGATGTTGGGGCTCTCCTCTCTAAGTTACATATTTACAAGTCAAATAGTGACACATTTTAAACTGCTATTTGGTATTCCCATATATTAAGTATACACTGTAATTGATTTAACCAATTCTCTTTTGATGGACAATTAAGTTACACCCAACTTTTTGCTAATATAAAAATACTGTGATATCCACCTTTCAACATCTATCTTTGCATATCTGACTAATACTTCCTTTCCAGAAATGGAAAGAGTGATTAAAATGCATCTTTTAAGAGGTTTTGGATATATACTCTCAAACTCCTCTCCATAAGATTGTATAAATTTACTTTCTTTCAGGCAGTATAGGAGAGTGACTGTTCTCCTATGTCCTTACCAACATTGAAAAGTATAAATTTTAGCTAATACATAAAAATGATCCCATTTTCATTTATATTTCTTTTTTTCTAGTAAGGTAATATAATCTGTCTACAAGCTTTTTTTTTTAATTCTTAAGATTTTTTCAACTGCTCTAATTAGCCTTTCAAGACTGTTCTTTACAATCAGTATAGTACTAAGCCTAAAGGAAAAGGGGAAATAAATTAGAAGAATAAAAAAATACACTGCTGGGCCTCCCTGGTGGCACAGAGGTTAAAAGGTGGCACAGAGGTTAAAAGTCTCAGTGCTATCAAGTTATCACCAGACACTGCAGCATGAGTTCAAGCCCCAGCCAGGGAGCTATCCACATGGCGCAGCAGACCTCTCCTGTCTCATCTGCTGTTTCCCTCAACAGTGTATTTCAGTAGAAATGTTTGTTCTGCTCCCCTGTCTCTGGTGAATCCTCTCATACCCCCATTCCTCTGTCCTGTACCCCAGTTCTTATATGCATAAATAAGTCATATATATGTGTGTATGTATATGTATATATATGTGTGTATATATATATATATATATATATACACACATACATATACATTTCATTCTAAAACAAGGGTTAGGAATAATTAGACCAAAAAAATTAGTATTTAACTGTCTTCTTTAAGAATGCTTGATATGCTTTAAAAAACATAAGCAATTAGTAATTCCATCAAATTTTTTTTAAAGATTTATTTATTTATTTATACAAGCACTGGGTACAGTCAGAAGCGCGGGAGGGTGAGAGAATTCACCAGAGCCAGAGCGGGGAGCAGAGCAGAGAGAAGGACCGCAGTACACTGCTGAGGGGAGCAGCGGGCGGCAGGAGAGGTCTGCGCGCCATGTGGGACCCTCCTCCGGTGGCCGGGGAGCAGCCGGGAATCGAACCGGCGCTGCGGAGGCTTCGGGCAGCTTCGCAACCCAGCGCTCAACCGCTGCGCCACTGGGGAGGCCTTTGTAATTCCATCAAATTTATCTATTTGTCAAGTTAAATAATATTCTAATATGCTTACAAGAAGAAAAGAGACTAGCATTTATCCCAAGATTAGGGCTGAGAAATGGACATTCCTACAAAGATCAGGCAGAAAACACAGATGTGTGAACTATCAGCACATGCACTACCTAAAGAAGAGAGTCATAGCTCAGGTCCAATGATTGTCAAGTGGAAATGCAGTTTTTGCCATATTTTCCAACTCTCAAGTGTAAAGTTGAATTTTAATGTTAAATCCCCCAATTTTTAAACGTTAAAGAAAAATTTCACAAACACTTTCCATAAACAATTCTGGCTCTGCTCTGAGGATATGTTTGTTTTCTTCATTAGATAAATTAATAGGATGAAAGCAAAATCTACTGTTTAGTAATTATCAGCAACAATAGGAGCAATTTTTCACATCACACATACACTCACACTTGCCTTTTTTAATATGAAACTAGAGATAAAAATCATTATCTGTATACAAATGTCTGAGAAGATCACATGGAACTAACAATCCATTCTGTCCTTGCATTTAGTCTTCCTGCAGGAGTCACATGTACCTCTAGAAGCACATGAAACTTTGCAAGTACCAAACGGAATCTATGGTTTTAAATTATTTTATACACTCAACTTTACATATTCTTTCCTATAATTAACCTACCTGAAGAATGTTCCTCTGACTGGCCTCTGATGTATCAAGTTAGTTTTACTTTCCTAATGTAATATCCTCTCCCCTGATCCCAGATGGATATATTCCCTTCTCTTACTTTACTAAAGACTGACTGACTTCTCACCCATTCTGAATTTTCTTGCCAAGGTGCACTGCCCTAGAATGTAAGAATCTGCAGGAACCAAAGGGACGATTCAAAGAGCAAGTATGGGAGCAGTCGAGGCACTAATAATAGGGATTCTTGCCTATTACTTATTTAACAGTGACGTTTGGCATTAGAAATGGAGTGCTCTGGCACCTGGATGTTCTGAATTCAAGCATACTGTGGAAAGGAGAGGGAGTAATAAAATTGTAAATGTTCTATTAGTGCCCCTGTCCCTTTCTATCAAAAGAAGCATTATTCCTAAGGGAATATCTCTCACAGTAAAGAAAGGGGGAACAGGCATTATAAAGGCAGTGGAATTTTATTTTGGCCAAGGATAACCTCTAGGCAAAGCTCCAAGACTTATTTATCTTTCTCTCTCAGAGTCTAAATTCAGAAGAGAGATGGTTGTCATGGGAATACATGTTAACATGTTTATTTAAATTGAAAAATGATGTCAGATTTCTGTCAGAGAGTAAATCTGATTTAGTTGATAGGATTGAGAATTCATCCAGCCAATTAGGTTACACAGAAGAAATTTTTCAAAGTTCAAGAAGCCAAATATGTAGCTCTAACAATTTGACAAAAATATAAAGAACAGGACACCATTTAGAACCTTATGTTAAAAGGAAATTGTTAAAAAATGTATTCAAGAAAGTTTTATTGTTAAAAAGCATGAGTGTGATTAAAAACACAAGCATAAATGATCTAAAAAATTCATATAACAGTGCAATGGATACGAATTTAAAAAGAAAAAGGACTTATATGAAATTTACTGTTGTTAAAAAGTATTTGTTCATGAATTTTTCAAAGGATAATGGTGAGTATAAGATCATTAGATTCCATGAGATACAATTAAATATGGAGTACAGTAGCTTTATCTTTAAATGTCTATATATGTCAAAAATCACACTTTGCAATTACTTAACTTTATGATGACAACTTAAAAATGTACGAAGGGATGCAGTTTTTCAAAATTCTTTTAGGAGGTATGTGAAAAAAAATGTTTTAAGACTACAGTTTTAGTGGATAGCCATGATTTTCAAACAGCACTTTAAAATATCTGCAACCCTACTTGTGAAAAGGAGATGAGGTTTTAATTTCCAGACTCAACCTCAGCCCTTAAAGTTAACAGATAAGGGTCTCCCTGGTGGCACAAGGGGTTAAGATGCAACGTATGACGCTATCCACAGCCACTGCAGCACAAGTTCGATCCCTGGCCAGGGACCTACCCACATGGAGCAGCAGACCTCTCCTGACTCTCCCGCTGCTCCTCTCAGCAGTGTATTTCAGTAAATCTGCCTGTTCTGTTCCCCACTCTGTCTCTGGTGAATCCTCTCACCCCCTACACCTCTGGCCTGTACCCCAGATCTTACATGTATAAATAAATCTTTAAAAAAAAAAAGTTAACAGATAATTTTTCCAAGCTGTTATTTCCCCATCACCTACACTTTTGCCACTAAAATAAACGTTTAACATATAAACATAAAGTAATTCATTTTTTCCTATTTTGCAATTAAAACATTTTACATAGCCATACCAAAGATCCTTGAATTTCCTGTTACCATCTAACCTTAATATGTTTAATCCAACAGAGATATATCGTAATGAACTCACTTAAATGCTGGGACATTTTGGTGAATTTTCTTCCTCCTATCAATGTGGTGAGTAGAAGTAATAGTATAATGGCTAAGAGTCAGACTTGAGTTGGAAATCCAGTTTTATCATTTATTAGCTAGGTGACTTAGGGCATGTTACTTGATTCCTCTTTCTTATAATAGTATCTATTTTGTAAAGCAATTGGAAAGATTAGTACATTTATATAAATTTCTTAGAACAAAGCTTGGTGATTACTAAGTATCATACAAGTATTAGGTATGAACAGTCAAACTGTTTACATCTGTGATACCAAAACCATTTGTTCACACTTTGTCAAATAAATAGTAATGTTTATAGTCTTGCAGGCAATGTGCTATATACAGGGATTCAAAGATGATGAGAATATACTCCCTGCTTTTCAAAGTTTCACACCCTATCAGGGAGTGAAACATTAAAGCAATATGATAACATTAACAAATATTTGAATAAACTAATTAAAATTGTTTTTAGTTTTGGGCAAACCTTAAACACAAAGGAGAAAGTGTGTAACAGGAGATCCCAGAGAAGGCTTTCTAAGAATGTGAATTTTAATTTGGATATTGAAGGATAAAAGCATTAAAAATACCTTTAAGTAAGAATAAGGATAGAGAGGACATTCAAAATAGAGTAATTGTGATAAAGATTCCTGCCTTTAGGCCGTATATTGAAGTCTTGATACTCTCACTTTAGAGAACTTAAAGAGAACTAATCATAAACATTTCTGCTACTACTTCTACAAAACTATATGCCTATCTAATTTATGACTGGAATAAAATATATTCCATTTTTCTCTACATGCCACACCACGAAGTTTAACTGTTATAAACACTCTTATACTCTTTTCTTTATGTATAATTGCAGGTGTTAATTTCTGAAACCAAAACACACTGCTATATTATATCTGAAAGATTTATTAATAAAAAAATAATACTTTTATAAAATACTTGTAATTCTTTATAAGAAGAAAAGGTAGTATAAGATATGACACACATACCTGTGTCTGAAGGACGTAAAAAGTCTGTGTCACAAGTGAAAAAGGTCTGATGGTCCTGAGCTGACAAATTCATGTCATAGTATGTAAGTGGCTCTTTACCAGTCACCCAAGTGTATCTTTACCAAAACACAAGAAGATATGTACATTGAACATGAGAGAGCATCTGTCTGCTAGAACAGACACTATTTAAAATTCAAAAATATGCTACTATAAATTCCACTTCACGATGTCTAAAAGCTTATTGTAAGTAAATTAAAAGAGGGAACCTATACAAACTATTGAGTATGATAATGAAACATCAAAATCCAAAAGGGGAAAAGCTGGATTATTAAACAATGTTTCAAAATTTAATTTGCTGTGGAGGTGCAAATTCATTACCCTAAATCATACAAAGTATTGCAAACTATTGTTACCTCAACAAAGGGACAAAACCCACAAAATTGGATTTGACAGGAGATAACAATTTGACTTAGATATAAATTCTCAGTGAATTAGAATTAAGTATTAAAAGTAAAAGTAGGGGCCTCCCTGGTGGTGCAAGGGGTTAAGACGAAACCTATGAAGCTGTCTGTTGCCACTACAGAATGAGTTCGATCCCCGCCGGCCAGGGAGCAACCCACATGGCGCAGCAGACCTCTCCTGACTCGCCCGCTGCTCCCCTCAGCAGTGTACTTTGGTCAGTCTGCCTGTTCTGTTACCCACTCTGTCTCTGGTGAATCCTCTCACTGTCCCCACCACCCCACCTCTGGCCTGTATACTCAGCTCTTGCATGCATAAATAAATAAATCTTTAAAAAAATAAAAGTAAAATTATCAAAAAAACAAAAGAGAACACAGATGGATTTTTATTAGATGATAAAATAGTAAAGAGCTTTCAAAGCTTAATAGCAAAAATAATTTTTTTCCAGATTTTACTGTTAGAAATTTAAACTCTTAATATTTAAACTATGAAGTATTTCAAAATTTAAATCAAAACCCACAATAATTAGGGCCTCCCCTGGTGGCACAGCGGTTCAGCACTGGGTTGCGAGGCTGCCCGCAGCCTCTGCAGAGCCAGTTCAATCCCTGGCCACCAGCGAGGGGCCCACAAAAAAAACACCCCACAATAATTAACAGCAAGTTAACAAACTGGCTAATAAATACATTTTTTAAAAGTTCAACTTAATTAATAATCATTAATAAATTAAAATAATGAACTTTTAATTGGCAAGGGATGTTGTCAAGGGTGAGGTGGGATGGACACATATCGCTATAATATAAATTGACATTTACATTTCTTTTTTCAGAAATCAATTATCGATAACATCTATCAAGAGTATTAAAAATATTCACACTGAGTTTGGATATGGGTATATGGAAATCCATTATCCATTCTCTCTACTTTTGTATATTTTTGAAATTTCCCATATAAAAAAATATATTACCAGAAGGAAAAAAAAACTGTTCACACGCTTTGATTCAATAATCCCAGTGTTACAATCAACCCTAAGGAAATAATCGCAGATATGACTAAATATTTACATAAGAGATACCAGTCTAGTGTAAATGTTATCAGTGAAATATAATCTGTGACCAGATAGATAAGCAACAGGTAAGGTTTAATAACTTCATATAAAATACAGTACAGCCACTGAAAATTGTTTTTTAGAAATTCATATTTTGGAGAAATTTTGTGGGAACTTTCTAACATGTTGTGTTAGAAAGAAAGATATAAAGCTATGCATACAGTATGATCAAATTGTATTTCTACATATACATATAGAAGAGAGGTTGGATGGAAATATTAATAGCAGTTATCACTTCATGGTATGATCAGGAGCATTTCTACTTTCTTTTTATAAATTTATTTCCTAATTTTCTATAGCGAATATGCATATATTTGACAACCAGAAAAATAAGCATTTTAAAGGTACATTATAAGCATTGCTTATATATGATATCAAAGATACATTTTCTTGCTATTTAGTTTTCAGCTTTTTGTGAAAATTATGAAAATGAAAAAGCAAATCTTTGTTTACTTAGCAAAGTTTTACTACACACTGTAAAACCATAAGAAATAATTTATTAATGGTACCTGGAATGAAGCTAATATATGAAAAACATATATTTACTAAGGCTATATTATGACTGTTTCCTAGAATCACAGAATGAATATCAATGTAATTTATATTTTACATTAAAACAAACTAATCATTCAAAAGAAGCATAAATGTTACTGATACCCACAAATGTCTATGATCTTCATGGACACTGCATAAGAAGGAATAGACTAGAAATTATTTTATAGATACAGTAAGAAGTTCAAGGACCTTGTTCTTGCAGAATCCCTTACAAAATTTCTAATGAAATTTTTCATAAAAGTCTAACTTTCACTTCCTGGGATGTGACTGTTCTACACTAGTAAGTCCATGAGCTCAGGGATATTTGCTTAATCATCTTTGAATCCCCATCATTTTGCACAGTGCCCATAGGTAGAAACATATAATGTTTCTTGTTCAAGTAAGTAAATAGCCAGTCTACCTCCAGGTAAAACACCCCTTCTCAAAATAAATAAGTAAAGTATCTCTGGTTATACTTTTCAAAAGATATTTTCTCATTTAGAGTAAAAATTGGAAGAGAAATGGATACAGTAGTAGAGATAGGAAATCGCAACATAAAACACATCATAAAGACATTATACCCTGTACTGTTACACACCGAGGTTCAAATTCACATTCAGAGTGCAGTTTTCTGTGAATCTTCAAACTTTGAAATTGAGCACATTTGTAAAGGAATATTCTGACATTTGTAATTTTTTTAATCTTGTGAATTCTTTGAAAAGGCTTTTTGCCATAAACCAACAACTAAATATATAATAATGTGTATTGCAAATATATGGTTTGAAGCAAGATTTCTCATGATTATAAAAGTAAATACAGATAAGATATTGACAACTAAACCCTGGACTAATCATTTTACATTATTATATATCAGTATCCCCAATTAGAAGAGCTGTAACATATGTATAAAAACAAACATTTCTATAATACTTCTTACTCTTAACCCGTTGTCATATTTATACTGAAAGCAAAATGTAATACCTCCTATATTCTGCTCCTCTGAAAAGATTTAGGGGGTTTCTCCATACCTTGCATTCTGAAAAACAAAACGAAGAAAGGGGGAAATCAAAGTTTAATCAAATGCAGTTAAATCTAAATGTAACCATTTATTGTACATTCAGTGTATGCTAAGCACAGTGGTAGTCACACACTGTAGAACACCCCTGCTGTCACGCAGCATACAATTGAATCTAGTCATTCCCTTCTGCCATCACGGCATGTGCTTCATAATTCTAGCCCTCACCATAGTACAATGTGATTATCTTATTTTCAATTTTTCTTTTTAAAATCTGAGCTCATAAAACTTTGTTCAGTTTTGCATTCCTGGAGCCTAGCACAGCATTGGAACTTGTTTAGTTGAATTAAAGTCAGCATGAGAATTGGTTATGGAAACATCATCTAATCTGTATGATAAGTGCTACAGTACAGATTTGTTTTAATCCAAGAGAATAAATTAGTTTTGCTCTAGGGAAATCAGGGGAGGCTTTATACAGGAGGTGACACTGAATCACTGTAAAAGATGAATAGTGGGTTGCCAGATGAAGAACAGCCTAAGCAGGGGAAGTATCATAAAGCCACGTAGCATAGTTAAGATAGTGTTTAGGAGAAGAGGATGAGAGCTATAAATGAGGCTAGAAAACAGACTGAGGGAATTTATACATCACAGGAGCACAGATCCTATATAAAGGAGATTAGATATTAGACGATCAGAAACCATCAAAGGTTCATAAGCAGAAAAGTATCAGATCTTTGTTTAGATCAGTAGTTCTCAACATATGATTTACAAGATTACGAAGTTAACAACTCTTTTCATAGTAAATGTTAAGAAAGTTTGCCTTTTAGCTGTACTGACTTGAACTCAACCCTAAGAGTGAGGCTTCCTTAAATTTTGTGCCCTAGCACCTCACTCACTTTACTGCAGTCCCAGTCTTGCAAAGTTGAGCAGATGGTGGTTAGAACCACTAGTGCTTTAGCATGTATCGAGGCACGAACAACAAATTGTATTAAGTATTAGTCATGGTTCTTCACCCCCACCCCAGTGAAGCAAAGCTATACTAAGTATGGTGTCTCTAGTATAAACAACCTCCTACCATGTCTGGTCAATACCCACTCATGCTTTAGGGCTCAGGCTAAATGGTACTTTCTCAGGGACTTTTTCCAATCAGAGCCAAAAAATACCAGCAATTGCATTCAAGTAGTATTCTTTTTATTAAATTAATGTAACTGGGTTCATTGAACAAATGAGATATTACAGCACTCTATGGCATTAACTCATTTGTATTATTAATGTATGACTATTACTAATACCAAATGAAACAAAATTCAGAAAGGACTTTCAAATTTTACATCCCTAATTACATATAATTACTTACTTACTTATAAGCACGTAGTAAATATATTTACTTATAAGCAAATATGAGCTATATGGATACATATAGAAGACTATTTAGAGTAGAAATACAGGCTAATTAGAGTATGGGAATGGAATATCTGGTTATGAATAACAGATTTTGATGTTCCTGTAAATCAATTAAAGAGAAAAATTATTTTTCCTTACTTCGTTCTCTCAGCAGAGATGGCTAATTGTCTCTGTTCTTTCTGTTATCAGTAATAAGGTCCCCTGATTATTAGATCCACACATGTACATGAGAAAATGATTACTGAGCCTCCCTTACAGTTAGCTGTGGCCATTTGACAAAGGATCTGACCAGTAAGGTGAAATAGCATGTAACACTTCTAGAAAGGGTCCTTGGTTGCTGTAGGATAAAAGGGTGATCTTTTCCTGGCCTATTCTCCTTCCTGCAGATCAGTATGTGGATATGATGGCTGAAACCAGAGCCACTGTCTTAGATTATAAGGAAAAACTGCATTTGGAGATGGCAGTCTAATAAAATGGGACTCTAAGTCTCTGATGATCATTGCTGTCCAGATCAGTCATGGCTTACCCATTTGTACATGAAAGACAGTCACCTGTCTATTATGAGTTTGCTATCACAGTCAAACTGAATCTTAACTATACAGCCTGAAAACACATTAGATAAGTAGTCACCTGACAAATTCTGTCTGCTGGTTTCACTTTCTCTGTTGCTAGAAGGAGAACCTGGCTCTGAAATGCTGCTTTCTGTTCCTCCCATCAGTGGTCGCAGATGGCTTACAGATACTTGTTCAATAAAAGATGTGCCATGCTTATGGAAATACCACCATTCAAATATCTATGACAAAGAGAAAACATTCTTCATTTAAAATAGAATTGATTAGCAGAGATGAGTTCAAATTAAAAAATTCGGGCCTCCCTGGTGGTGCAGGGGTTAAAGACAGAGCTCTTTAACAGACACTGTAGACATGAGTTCAATCCCCAGCCAGCCAGGGGGCAACCCAAATGGTGCAGCAAACCTATCCTGCCAGACCTGCTGCTCCCCTCAGCAATGTATTTCAGTACATCTGCCTAATCTGCTCCCCACTCTGTCTCTGGTGAATCCTCTCATCCCCCACACCTCTCGCCTGTACCCCCATTCTTGTGTGTACAAATAAATCTTTTTTTAAAAAAAGGCAGTTAATCACACCAACTATGGCTATAGTTTGGCTTATACCATATGTTTTACTAAGAGATGTGGTAAAACTTGAAACAACTTGAAAACAACTGGAAGAAATCACACAAGAAGAAATTATTCATGCTACAGAAAAGACAAAATTTATAATAATCATAAGGGTAACCAGTAATAACTGTTCTTCCCTATATGAAGTATAGGTGGTTTTTATGAATGAATATGATGTTAAATCTTTTTCAATGTTTGAGTCAACTTTCCAACACAATGAACAATAGCGATAATGCTGATTTTTATCAAGCATTGTGAAACTCCTTTACATGCATTATGTCATCTAACCCCAAAACAACTGATTTTAGGGATGAAGACATATATTCCAAGTTCAAATACCTAGGTCTGGCTTGCACCACTTGTAAATGGCAGAACTGGGATTCTTACTCAGGTCTGCCTGACTTTAGAGTTTCTAACAATGACACCAGACTGCCTCCTAAGTATATCCCAGTGTATGTCTACACAGGTTGGTAAGTCCAGCTGTCAAAGAAATTACAAACACAATCAACTTTGCTAATAAAAACTCATCAATATTACAAGAGTAACAATACAGTTTAAACTATAAATTATTACTCAAATCTCCTAATTTTTGTAAATTTAAATTGTCGGTTTAAAAAAACTGACAATTTTTTTAAATTTTCTTACATATTTTGTGTGTTTATTTATGTGTTTATTTTCTTACATATTTTATGTGTTAATTTCCTTACATATTTTATGTTTAACATATTTATGCTAAATCTGTGTGTGTATAATACATATAGATGTAAAATTTCCCTTTTATAAATGAGGAAATTGACTTAGAGAATGTTTGTGACTTATTGGAAGTTATTAGCTATTAAGTAACAGAATTAAGACTTAAAGTCACAACTTCTGGCTTTGAGAAGACCAATTTTTTTCCACTACATCATTTCCTTAAAAATAGTTTATTTTCTTTAGATTTTCATATGCTGTTGACTAAATGTTAAAATATGCTTAATTATAAGGGGGTTTTATAAATCAATAAATTTTAAGGCTTATATTATTAACACACAATTTTCATTCTGAATCCCTCAAATTTTTTTTTTTTTAAGTCAAGCAAAAATCCCTTTCCTCTTTAGTGTTTTACTTTAACATGGTCAATTATTAATTCCTATTTTTGAAAAAACACTAATACAAATGATCTTACTTTTACTATAGTTGGAGAGCACCACCTAGAGATGAGAAAAAAGTACAGAAAAAATATCATTGATCCTGTATGCCACACTTCCTAAGATTTTTATCTGTAGCAGTATATTCCCAAAGTTTATACTAGGAAACACTACTTCCTAAGGATGTTAATAGAGATTGCAATTTTTTTCTTTAAATTAAAAATGGCAGTTTAATTAAATAAGGAAAAGTTAAGTTAAAACTAAACAGGTTCCGGGCCTCCCTGGTGGCGCAGCGATTGAGCGCTGGGTTGCGAAGCTGCCCGCGGCCTCTGCAGCGCAGGTTCGATTCCCAGCTGCTCCCCAGCCACCGGAGGAGGGTCCCACATGACGCGCAGACCTCTCCTGCCGCCCGCTGCTCCCCTCAGCAGTGTGCCTCTGTCCTTCTGCCTGCTCTGCTCCCCGCTCTGGCTCTGGTGAATTCTCTCACCCTCCCACGCTTCTGATTGTACCCAGTGCATGTATAAACAAACAAATAAGTAAATAAATAAATAAAACATGCCTCTATTAAAAAAAAAAAAAACTAAACAGGTTCCTTTACCGTGAGACTTCTCAAGAATAACATAGCCAGGGGCCTCCCTGGTGGCGCAAGGGGTTAAGACGCAACCTATGAGGCTGTTCACGGCCACTGCAGCATGAGTTCAATCCCCAGCCAGGGAGCTACCCACATGGCACAACAGACCTCTCCTGACTTGCCCACTGCTCCCCTCAGCAATGTATTTCAGTCAGTCTGCCTGTTCTGCTCCCACTCTGTCTCTGGTGAATCCTCTCACCTTCCCACACCTCTGGCCTGAATCCCAGCTCTTCTACGCATAAATAAATAATAAATCTTATTTTATTTTATTTTATTTTAAAGATTTATTTATTTATTTATACAAGCACTGGGTACAGTCTTTCACGGGAGGGTGAAAGAATTCACCAGAGCCAGAGCAGAAAGCAGAACAGGCAGGGTGACAAAATACACTGCTGAGGGGAGCAGCAGGCGGCAAGAGAGGTCTGCGTGCCATGTGGGACCCTCGCCCGGTGGCTGGGGATCGAACCTGCGCTGCAGAGGCTGCGGGCAGCTTCGCAACCCAGCGCTCAACCGCTGCACCACCGGGGAGGCCCAATAAATCTTTTTTAAAAAAAAAAAAAAAGAGTAACAATAGCCAAAATTCATGAACGCTTACTCTGTCTGAGTTATTTACCTTGTTTTTATACACATTATATCCCAAAGTCTTTATAATCCTATAAAGCAGATATTATAAACCCCAGTGTAAAGATGAGGAATTGGGGCTTAGAAAAGTTAATTTGAACTTGCTGGAAGTGATGATTAGAAGACAACTTGCAATCTATAGGCTGAATTCAAGACACAGATGAATCTTTACTCTGCCCAATTTTGCCAACATTAAAGAATTGGGGGCATATATATATTATATCCAGGTTCTCTTGAAATCATTTGAAAAACTGAAAGATCTGGTACTATTGCCCTGCAAATCTATATGGCGAAAATTAGCCTTAACCTCTTTTAGAAGGAGCAGCCACCATCTGGATTACCCACTACTCAAAGTAAATGAGGAGTTTAATTCTCTTATACGCCCCATTTTTGTTGCCAACCTGGGTCCTACAGGCCCTTGCAACCCATCTCTCAGGTTCTACTTCCTACAGTATACTAGTCTTTTAAAGACAAATGAATACTGCCAAACCCTTAAAAATGGAAAGGGAATTCTGTTTTATTTTTCAAACACTTAACACATTTTGAAAGCTGACCTATACATATTTATAATTATTGTAAACAGATAAATCTTCAGATAAATATCAAAATACAAATGAAGGAAATGGAAACTACTTACAAATATTAGTCCCGATATCAAAGATGATGTCCCTGTAAGTGCCACATAGAATTTGGGAGTCAATGAATTTAAAAATACTGTCACTGCCAAAGGAAAAAAAAAAATCAGTTTTAAAAAATGCAAATTCAGATTACTTTGGTTACAAACATGCAGGTGTCTTTATGAGTGGGGAGGTACATAAATAATATTAATATCTACTATGACATTCATTAGAGAAAGTTGTAATAAGCTACTTTAAATTCACATTGTGTCATCTTAAAATTTTTTCACACAGCAACGTAGCATTTTACACTGTTAATTAAATAAGCAAATCAAAATGAGCTCATTTAGCTTGTTTTTGATAAAACTAAGAATTTATGTCATAATTTAAACAAAACCTTGCAAATTTATGACCATATGCTAAACAAGCATCCTATTACAAAGGAGGCTTAAAACCATTCCCTGATTATTCTGATGAGATACAAATTAGCAGGATGGAAACAGTCTATGTATTTGGTAAATCAGATAGGAAGGTACAATAGCTCAAAGAGCAGGAAACTGAGAGCTCCCTGCACCCTACTCACTAAAATCCAAATTCATTTCAAATATTCTGGGTTTTAGAAAGAAATAAAAATCTGTAATAGCTATTCTCGTCCTAATGGTTTATCTAGTTAACACGCAGAAAAATAAACGATAAACTCAATGAATATTATTTCACTGAGTATGCAAAACACTAAAAAGCATCTCATTCATCTCTTACTGACACTAAATTAGCTGTTTCAAATAGTCTGGGGAAGGCCAATTTATTTAACTTGCTCTGGTGTGTTAGTTCTATCTGAATTTACACAGCACCAATGTTCTAAAAAGCCCAAAATATTTCCAAGCACTTTCTCAGTCTTTCGTGATATCTCACGGAATTGAAAAGAGGACAGCTGCCTCTTCTCAGTATGGAAAAATAAACCCTGGTACTAACAGTCAGTCATCACATAGCAGAAATACTTCTTAAACTGAGGTTCCTTGCTCATTGCTTGAGTTGAAATATTGTAATGACATGGAAGAGGCCATGGCTTCAGCTAAAGAATATTTACAGAATTCACGTGGCAAATCATTTTTTACATGTCTTTGTCTTCAGTCCAGACTACAAATGATGAAATGAACTACCGAAGGAACCCACAGCTGTCTGGGGCGCCTTCTCTGGACTTCCTGCACTGTTCTATTTTATTACTCAAGATAAAGAGTGTAAAATAAAGAACTGACAAAACTCCAAACGAGTTGACAGCACTATTTTAAAACCCGAGAATGGTTAGCTAAGAAGATCACGGCAACAACTTCTTTCGTTTGAGACCTCTGAACACAGAAGAGCGCATCTTTGTCATCTGCGTGTGGGCACTCAGCTGAACCGCTGGAGACTGAAAGGCATGCTTTTCAAGAGTTCCTACCAATGGTGGGGGGGTGTATATAAATTCTGCATCCGAGTCTGAGAAAGCTCTCATCCGTCCTACACCTGAAGCTCACAGTCTGTCAGGCTTTCCCCGGGTCAACCAGGACGTGCGAGAGAGGGCGGATCGTCTGCGCGCTAGGGAGTAGCCGGCAACTGCAGCTCAGCTGACAATCAGGTGCCGAGTTGCCGCCCAAGAGCAACAGAACCCTCTGGGGCGCATCCCCGACTGATTCTCCGAAGCCCTCCGGTGACCACAGAGGATGTCCGCCCCCGGGCCCCCACCCCGGGCGCCCTGCTGGGCCCCGCCCGTCCCCAGGGAGGTCTGGGCCTCTCACCCGCGGCCAAATTTTCACAAAGTCTCAGCGGGACCCTCAGAGCGTAAAGCAGCCCCAGCCCCGCCACGAACCACAGCGAGGCCCCAGTCCCCGCCAGCCCGGCCCGCAGCCGCTCCCTCCAGCCCGGGGGCGGGCTCAGGCCGGGAGCGGGGGCAGGAGGTCCCGCAGCAGTCGCGGCTTCACCCGAGCCGTCGCCGTCCGCCATCTTGCCGCTCCCGCAGGCACCGGGGGCTGGGAGGGTAGAAGGGCAGGAAACCGGGCGTCGGGAATCTTGGGATAGTGGCGGACTTGAAGTTGGCCTTTCTGAAGGCTGAGTCCCGGGGAGAGGGGAGCGAGGGGATTCCTAGGCGGACGCGCATCCCAGCGCAGGGCCTGCCGATTCCTTGGAAGGGCGGGCAGGGCTGGGAAACGGCACTTATTCCGTAGGGACGGGACTGAGAAGTCACTCCGGAGGGAGGTGTTTTCGCTTCCATACAGTGAGGATCGCCTTTCACTCCTTTCCGGGGTTTGAAAAAGTCACCGATGTTCTAGGGACCCAGCAGCACTTAGCCCCTTGGCCTCGGCTGCCTCGGCTGCCTCGGCCATCACTGGTACAGAGGAAACCCGCACGGCGGCGTGGAGTAGATGGAGGTCTGGCGCCAAGCACAGTTGAACCACGCTCCCAGCGTGCAATAATGACGGGGGAATGAATGAATGTAACTCAGATGTTAGACTTGAATATCACTTCAGGCAAAGGCGACTTCCTGGGGCGCGGGCGCCGGCGCCAGGAGCCATCACCCCCACCGCCCGCAACTGACATGGCGCCCTCGCTGCCGGCGCTTCCGGGCGGGCCCTTCCGACGGCCCCCGCGGTGATTCCATCACTCGGCTCCCTTCCCGGCCTGCCTCGCGCCGGGCCGGGCTGGGCCAGAGCAGCCCAAGATGGCCGACTTCGAGGATCGGGTGTCGGATGAGGAGAAGGTAAGGGGTCCGCCTCTCTCTCCCTCGGACTTTCTCTCGCGGCAGGGAAGAGGGGCCCTACCCGGCTGCCTTGGGGACCCCTGCGGTGTCCCTAGGAGGAAAGAGCTGCTTGGCCCGCGCTAGCATACGCTCTCCGACGTCGGGACGCTTCCTTCTTGAGGGGCTGTCCTCTGCCTCACGGTGGCCCCAGTTCCTCATTTCTCAACTCTTTTCTTTTTCTCCCGGGCTTCAGGCACAGCCCAGTGGCTTTGCTGCGAGAGAAGAGACTTTCCCTTCTTGAATCGTGACTGTGGATTCTTCTGTAATTGACATGGGGCGATGGTGCTGTCGCGACTTAACCAGCAGTTATTTTGCCGAGCTTAGCTGTTGGGGTCACCCCATCCCCCCATTTTTAGATATGATTGAGGCTAGTTTAGGGCGAGTCACTTCCTGGTCAGAGTGGCCTCTTAACTTCCCTTTTGCTCCTCCTTCCTCAGGAAGTGATTTTGCTGTCACTAATCAGCCGGGAGAGGTGCCTGTGTGTTGCCCGATCCTCCACAGACCCATCTCTTTTCTCATGTACTATCGGCTGAATTAATTTGCACTAGTAGATGTAGGACATTTGCTTCAGTATGTGAACCCCGTTTTCTTGTTAGACAGGCCCTTCATTCTGTGCTTGTAGATACGGCTCCTGAGGTGACTCCATCCCTTGCATCTTACATTCTCTTAACCATCATTTTTGAATAGTTTTATTTCTTGTTAACAAATCAAGAAGACCAACCTATTTTTTTTTTTTAAGTTCCATGAAGGTTTTGCATAGAACACAAACCTCACGCTCACACATTCAAATCTGGACAAAGCATTTTACCTTTGATGCACCACCGTAGTGTCTGATTACAGTCGGACAAGTCAGTGTTCAGTTTGTATACGTATTTCTTTAAAAGTGTCTGAAATACAAGAAGGTGGATTAACTTTTTTCCTGACAGCACCACCGTTCTGACCAGTTTTTAGGGCTTTCTAGTAAATAGCATGATTTTAGGGCTTGAGCATTGGAATGATTTCGCTGGATAACTTGTTACAGGATAAAAGTTACATGTGCCCCATTGTGGCTATTACAGAATGTACATTCTTCAGTGCTCTGTCAATGTACCTGAACACTTTAAGAGGTTGGGATGGTGGAAGGGATTGAGTCTAATGTTAAGTTAATGTGATATGCCTACAAGCGCATGCCATTTTGAAATGCTAAGACTATGCTTAACACTCAACCACTGAAGAACACTTTTAACAGTTTTTCTCTTATTTGGAAATTGGCTGTCATACATGTGTGAAGTTGGGGCGTAGGGTGAGGTTTTAGATATGAACTTCCGCTGGCAAATAGTGAATCAGGTGAAATTTAATTCAGTAAAAATGATGGGATAACAAACATTTGTTAGTTCGGCTAATGCTCCACTTATTTTAAGCAAAAATAATCTTATAACAAACCATTACAAATAATTTTAAAAACTTGGAAGTTTTCCGTGCCCAAGCAATTCTGCATTTACAAGTGTTATTCAGTGTCTATGACAGTGGGTTAGACTGCCTTTTTCATTAAACTTGGAGAATAAATATATTTCAAAGTGCATATTAAGATGTCCTTGGATACTAACAGTATTTAAATTGATAACATTAATAGATCTGTGACCAGTTTCCTCTTGTCTCCCAGCATACTTCTTTTTGTTACTTAATGTTAATGACACAGCAAGCAAATCATAATTAGTAAGGTAACTCTGACCCAAAATGTTACTGAATTTTATATTCAGCAGTTTTTATATTAATATTTTTGTTAATGTGAATTAAAAACAGCTGACAGTCTTTTATAATAAACTCATATGATTTGTAATTGTAGAAATTTTGTTCAATTCCTATTCCCAGAGATGAAACCAATCTATATTTCTTTTGTGAATCTGTAAGTAAAAATATTTGTAAAAGTATATCAGATCTAGGCCTCCCCGGTGGTGCAGGCAGTTGAGCACAGTGCTGTGAAGCTGTCTGCAGTGTCTCCCAGAGCCGGTTTGCTCCCCGCCGGCCGCGGAGCTACCCACATGGCTCGGCAGAACTCTCCTGTCTCATCCACTGCTCCTCTCAGCAGTGTATTTCGGTCAGTCTGCCAGTTCTGTTCCCCGCTCTGTCTCTAGTGAATCCTCTCATCCTCCCGCACATCTGGCCTGTGCCCTGGTTCTTGTATAAATAAATAAATCTTTTTAAAAAAAAGTATATCAGATCTTCAGCTTCATTCCTATTTTGCCCCCTTTACCTCCAAGCTTGATTCCTTTTGAATTCAAGAATTGAAAATGTATTTTTCGGGCCTCCCCGGTGGCGCAGCGGTTGAGCGCTGGGTTACGAAGCTGCCCGCGGCCTCTGCGGCGCCAGTTCGATCCCCGGCTGCTCCCCGGCCACCAGAGGAGAGGCCCACGTGGTGCACAGACCTCTCCTGCCGCCCGCTGCTCCCCTCAGCAGTGTACTTCGGTCCTTCTGCCTGCTCTGCTCCCCGCTCTGGCTCTGGTGAATTCTCTCACCCTCCCGTGCTTCTGACTGTACCCAGTGCGTGTATAAATAAACAAAACAAATAAATACATGCCTCTTTTAAAAAAAAATGTATTTTTCAACAAGAGGTGCTGATATGACTATTCTAGCAGTCACAAACCATTAAATAATCATTAAAAGTGATTCTTGACCTATAAACTTTCACAATCTTACAAACATTTAAAAAACAAGACATTTTCAGCCTTAGTTTGTATTGATTCTTCCTTGAAGGAACTCTAAAGTTTTTGTATTTTCTCTGATCTGGACTGCATATGATTTTGGGGTTTTTTAAGGCATTTATGTCATGCTGCTGCTTTTTTTCCAATAAATTTAGTCTACAACACTCTATAGGTTTCAGGGAAAGGGAATGCATCTTAGTACTGTTTTTATCGTTGTTACATGTTCTAAAAGCCGGGAACCCAGATTGAATTTCATGATGGTCTCCCATTTCCTTGCAACTACTTCTATAGACACTAGAAAACCCAACTATTCTCACAACTAACTGCTGAAGTTTTTAGACATTATAAAGAGGAAGTTGGGTTTTTTAACTTCTGCATTGTTACCTGAAATGGTCATGTTGAGCTGCCTAAGTAAAACAGGAAGTGTAATAACTTACAGAAAAGCTTTTGGTCTTGTCCTCGAGTTCAATTTCTGAGAATGAGCTCTCCTTTTCTAGTTACTGACACTCTAAAGTTAACTCTTACTTAACAAGACCAAAATGACAAGTTACCATAATTATGAAACTTGGAAATATGAAATGGGATGTTTGCTTAGGTTCTTCGAACTGTTAAAAACAAACTTAAAAAATTTTAGGGGCTAGAAAAAAAGTACAGTTGGCATATTTCCTTTCCTTTACCCTGGCTAGTGGAATATTTGTGTACAACCTGAAAAATACCGTAATTGAGAAGTGACTTTGTGTGCCCTAAGCTTAGACAGTGATGTTATCTTTAATGCACTTATTGAGAAAAAGGTTTATCAAAATTGTTTAGGAGAGGTATGGAAAGTATTATAAGCACAATAGATGGCAGAAATTTGAAGACTGTTAGAGCTCGTGAAAAACTCGCTTTTAAACTTAACTTCCTTGGTTGTGTATTACCTCCTTAATTTATTTGATAATGCTCTTATAGGATGAAGTAAACCCTAAAACTTTTTTGCCTTGGGTAATTTCTAACAAGTTATCAGTGTAAATACCAACATTCTTTTGTCTTCCTGTCTTTCCAGTTAGCTTTGCTGAGAAGTGTTCATGTTACAAAGTTCTCGAACAGATGACTAAAGCTTAAGCTGGTGCAAACTTAGATGCCTGATCTTTGTTAAGAGGGTAGGTTTATTATAACTTCCTAGATAATGTTTAGCTCAGTTTTTAGGACCAGCCTTAGTGATAAGACCTACCTACTTTACCTAAGATTGAGAAGTCATATTTTTTCCAGTACAATGTTTTGTCCATGTAAATGTGAAAAATGTGAATGAAGAAACCAGTATAGAGGTGTCCATTTAATGAATTAGGTATGAATGAGGTATTGTGATTTAATGCAAAAGTGCTTCTGAGCGTCAGGAACTTTGGCCTCCCTGCTGTCTATTAGTCTCACCAGTGTGGTTTTGGAAAAAAGAACTTAACCTCTCTGAGCCTCAGTTTTCTTCTGAAATAGAGAGGGAGGTAAGGTGAATGGATTAAACTGACCAAACATAGTTTAAAGAAGTCTTTCAAACGCTAATAAAAAAATCTTATTAAAATGTTCCAGGAGCTTTTATCATTGTCTGTTTTCGCACATTTGCCCTGACAACAAAACCACAAATTTCTTGGTAACTGAGACTATGTCTTTTTATCTAATGTTAGAATAGCATCAGTTACATGGTGTAGACACAGCCTTTTGGTGTGAAATAGATCAATCACAGCTTCATTCATTCTCATGTTTCCCCCAGCTCATGTTACCTTACCCCCTTCGTTAATTATTCCTGGTACTTATAATCTCTAGGTATTTCTTGTCTTCAGAAATGTTTCCGTACAGTGGGTGCCTGAGCATCTTCTGCCATTACTGCAGCTCTGTTTGTTGTGCCAGCTGTGGGGACCTTCAGCCCTAGGCTCACCACCACCCCAGCATTTTCCTAATAATTCCATAAAGCTACCAAACATTGTGCATGCCAGAATGATTTTGCATTTATACTTTGAGCTTTGCAAAACCCATAAGAAAAGTTTCCTTCATTTGCTGTGAGTCCTCTATTGTAGAGCTCAAAAACAACAGTGTAGAATCAGTTATTATTCGGCCTTTTCTCTCTCACACTTCTCACCCCCCCACCCCCCACCAAGTTAAAGTGCTTATGTTATTGGGCAGGAGTGAGTGGCACCTTGGGACCTCCAGACCTCCTACTCTAAATAGGTTCTGCCATCTGACTTGGCAGACAAAAACATATTCCAGTACATAAGACTTTCAGTGGAAAGGAACCGTAATACAATTTGTGTG